ACAGCTCACAGCAACCTCCAACTCCTGGGCTCAAGCGAGTCTCTTGCTTCCGCCTCCCCAGTAGCTGAGACCATAGGCACCTGCCACAATGCCTGACTATTTTTTTGGTTGCAGCCATCATTGTTGTTTGGCGGGCCTGGGCTGGATTCAAACTCGCCACCTTAGGTGTATGTGGCTGGCGCCTTCGCCACTGGAGCCACAGGCGCCAAGCCAGGATTGCTCTTTATTGAGATGGAGAAGAGTGGAGAAGCATTTTGGAGGTTGGGGGGTGGGCTGAATCTTAGGGCCATAGTTTTGCCCTTAAGATATAGTTCTGCTCTTGGCACCAAGGAGGCTCACATAGCATCAGTGCAATCAGGGCCCTAAACTTTATTGTTTGGTTACCTTGTCTAATCTGTCTCCCTGCTGGACTGGAAGCTCCTTGAGAATAAGAATTGTCATTAATTTCTGGATTTGAAGCACAGGGCTAACTAAGCACATGTGGGTACTCAGCAAATGCTGAATGAAGATTAAATGAATGAAATGCCCTTCTCTGGAACTCAAGTCAGGTTGAGGGTAGGTCCAGGAGAAGGGGGAAATCTGATCCTTACTCTGAGGGGGTTTAACATGTAGAAGAATCTTTGGTACCGAGTAAAAGTGATCTCTATCCAAGATCCTAACTGGTTTTCTGAGCCTTTAGTCCCCCAGAGGGAAAAACTCTGCCCTTGTCCCCACTGCCCTAACTGTTCTTGCCTGGGTTTCCACGTGGCAGTTCCAAATGTCTGGTCCCATTCCAGGTGTGCTGTGGCTCTAGATGCTTGGATGTTTCCTCTGGAAAATGACTTTTACCCCAATGCCCGAGGCCCCGTGTTCTTTATTAATACTGAGAAATTCCAGACAGTGAAGAGTATCAGTTTGATGAAGAAGATATGTGCCCAGCATGAACAATCCAGGATCATAACTGTCCTGTGAGTAAACCCCAAGGTCACACGCCCAGTGTCCTCTCCAGTTTCATCTCAGCTGTGGCTCCCTTAGTTTCTTCTGGATTATTCAGAACTTTCTACCCATTAAGAGAATAACTACTGAATACTTCTGAATTTCGAAATCTTAATTCCTTTAGAATTTCCTACCTGTTGCTCTTCTCCACTACGCTCCACCTGCAGTGACCTCTTCAGTAGTTTATATGAGTTTATGACATGACTGACCTGGTGCTTTCTAGAAAGAGGGTATTGCAGGATTACGTGTTGGAGACGAAAGAGTATAGGTCTGGGTAGGATCCAGAGATACTAACCTCATTTGGGAATTTTATTGGGTCTTTTGAATGCTGTGAATATAGTAGACCTTTGACATTTACCAGATAGATTTTTATTTTTCTTTCTTTCCTTCATTCAGAGACAGAGTCTCACTTTATTGCCCTCAATAGAGTGCTATGGCATCATAGCTCACAGCAACCCCCAACTCCTGGGCTTAGGCGATTCTCTTGCCTCAGCCTCCCCAGTAGCTGGGACTATAGGCACCTGCCAGAATGCCTGGCTATTTTTTTGTTGCAATTTGGCTGGGGCCAGGTTCAAACCTGCCACCCTCGGTATAGGGGGCCGGCGCCCTACCCACTGAGCCACAGGCACCGCCCCTGGATAGATTTTGAGAGACCTTCATGAATACCTCAATTCACAGATCACTCTAAGATATGTCTTTTTTCCCCATAAACTATCTCTATTCTAGCAAAGAGAAACCATATTTTCTTCACTTCTGTCACCAGCACCATTGGTTGGTTGTCTTTTGGGAGTCATTTTTCAGAGAAAAACCATCATTAGTGACTTTCATAAATGTACTGTATGTAGGAGTTTGTGGTGAGCTCCAGGTGTTAAGGCCAAGATCTCACTCCAAGACTTGCCCCCACCCTGCACTTGAGCCTCACAGCACACAGGCTCCAGGCATCCTGGTTCCTGTTTCAGCAAAATGACAAGTTGACTGAATGCCATGGACCTCTGGAATCACTCAAGTAGTTGAAATAATAAATCCAGAGCCCTGGGACACTGGGCGTCTCCTGGAAGGTGGTTCCCTCCCTCATCTTTGCCCAGGCTCTCTTCCCTGGCTGCTCCCTTCCCTTTTGCTTTGATTTCATGGCAGCAGAGCATAACTTGATCCTTTCCCAAGGTCCATCAGGTTCAGGAGGGAGGGAAGGTGAGGCCAGGCAGGAAGGGACACACAAAGGGCATTTAACCACTGGCAGCGTCTTATTGCTGGATTCTCAAGTATCTAGTACATTATTTGCCTTAAATATTGCATTTTTTTCAAAGGCAGTTTTTCTGCATGAGATTCAAATACGTTAGCATTTAGATTTTCTTTCCCTCACTGAGTCGACTAGCAAATATAGTTGTAATTTAGCCCAAAATGAATCTAGTGAGCTTTGCACTTGTGAATTTAATATACTTAGTGTCAAAAGACACTTTTACCCTTTTCTGATTATTTAAATAAAGGCAAATAATTCCTCTTCCCTGTTTATGCTGTGCTACAGTTCTGGAGAAGGAGCTAACACGTTGTGTGAAAGTTCACAGTCACTCGGTCAAAGCCGTGGCATAGCAGGTTACAACCTAAGAATGGCAAGTGCTATAGGCCCTGCCTCCTCACCTTACCCTTGATCCAGCTAGCTCATCCTGTTCCCCAAAGTGTCGTGGCCTAGGGCTTGAACTAACTTTGAAGCCGGGCATATTCAGGTTCAAATCCTCCCTCCATCCTCTATACCTGTGTGACCTTGGGCAGATCATATCTCTCCCTGGATTCTGTCACAGGGGGAAATACTTTCCTCACAAGGTTGCTGTGAAAATCGAGGGTGATAATGTGTGGAAAGCACCTTGTACATAGTAGGTAAGTACTTAACAAATACCTGTATACCCTGGCCTCCAGACCCGACCAATTGTTTTTCTTTTTCTCTAGTGGTTCTGTTCATCGGAGTCAAACTGATTTTACTTTTGTGACGGGCAACTTGATTGGTAAATTCTTCTCCACTCAGACCCGTGGGAGCCTGGACCCCTACGCAGGGCAGGAGGTCGTGGTACGGGCCATGTTGGCCTTCCTGCAGAAACACCTGGGTAAGGGGGGGAGCTGGAGCTCACGGAGCAGCTGTGGGGTCCCTTAGACTTCCCTGCAGCACAGTGAGCTACAGGTTTAGAACCTAGGACTTAAAACAAATGGAAAACCTTAGAGGAGAGAGTTACATAGAATTATAGGAAAAAAAAATTTTGACTAAAATTGTGACGATACTGATTCTGCTGGTAAGAACCAGCAGAATGACCTTGGCCTAGTCATTTAACCTCTCTACACCTTGGTTTCTACACTGTAAATGGAACACTGACCTCTCTCTATGCCACCATCTCTGTCCTAATTCAAACCCCTTATTACTCATCTGCATTGTGGGGGCAGTTTTGATGATACTGAGCTAAATTTACGGAAGTGTTTTAAAGAAACAAAAAGTGTGGAAGGATTATGATTAACATAAATCACAGACTAGCTAAAGGGCAAGGTGTCCAGAGGTCCCTGGCCCAGCCTCCACTCAAAAGAGTTGACTTTCTTCCCTGCCACACGATCAGGCCCACTTTACCACTGGAAACGTGGCTGGCTTTAAGAGTTTACATTCTATCAGGTGGGCACACACCTGTAATTCTAGCTGCTCGGGAGGCTGAAGTGGGAGCATCCCTTGAGCCCAGGAGTTCAAGACCAGCTTAAGCAATATAATGAAACCCTCATCTAAAAAAAAAAAAAAAAAGTGATATTCTAGTTAAGCTTTGGGGTTCCAAAGATTGGAGCCTTATGAATTTGCCTCGAGAGAAAGCGGGTATTTGTTTCTAGAGTACACCTGGATGAGAGGAGGTGTGTAGTTACAGGAACCAGGGGCATTCACGGCTGGCCCCTCTCTCGGTCTGTCTTATTTTTTTATTTTTATTTTATTTTATTTATTTATTTATTTTGAGGCAAAGTCTCACTTTGTTGCCCTTGGTAGAGTGCTATGGTGTCATAGCTCACAGCAACCTCAAACTCTTGGGCTCAAGAGATTCTCTTGCCTCAGCCTCCCATGTAGCTGGGACAACAGGTGCCCACCAGGACACTAGTCTTCTATTTTTAAGTCTCAAACTTCTGAGCTCAAGCAAAGGACCCACCTTAGCCTCCCAGAGTGCTAGGATTACAGGTGTGAGCCACTGTGCCCGGCTTCCCCGTCTGTATTGTGGGCTCGGTCCCTCTGTCTCTCCACGTCTCTGTCTTTGTTCCATTCCTCAGTTTTTCTTTCTGCTCTGCGTCTCTTCTCTGGCAGATAGCATCTGTTTATTCAGTTTCTACTTCCTCATGACATCACTTGGCTTGAACCCCTCAGGGCTTGTTCCCTCCACCCTGTAGCTTTTTTCATCTTCAGCCCCCTTTGCTCACTGCTAAGTGTTTTTTGGATTTCTTAGACCAGATTCCCAAGAAAGACAAGAGATGGGGCCTTGGTCTAGCTCAGGCTGGTCTCAAACTTGTGAGCTCAGGCGATCCGCCTGCCTGGGCCTCCCAGAATGCTGAGATTACAGGTGTGAGTCACCTTGCCTGGCCTTGTCTAACTTCTTCACACAAACTTTTCAGCACTTCTAAATAGTAAACTTAGGCCACTGCACCTGGCCTAGAAATTCTTTCCTCATGGAGAATCAGCTGACTTCTACTGTGCACTTTGACACTTTGTTTCAGGGTCATATTAGGACACCTATGTTTCATCACCAGTAATAAACATCATCATGCCTCTCCAAGAGGTCTTGGCAAACTTTGATTCTTCTTTGCTTTTGTTCATTGGTGAGCTCCTTCGGGACCATTTTTGCACACATTTTTGTCATGCCAAGATTTTCAGTTAAGATTTTTCTAACTGTTTTTCTATGAGTGTTTACTTGGACCGCTGTGCTTCTCACACTCAAGCCCAGGATTTTGACACACAATTTGATGAATTTTTGCAATGTTTTCGTCAGTTCTGTGCCTTACTGGCCGCCCTGACCTCTCTTCGTCAGTGATGTTCTCTCTCCCCTCAGAAAACCATTTAATCCACATGTACACTGCTGTTTTCTTCATGGCATTATCCCCATAAACTTGGACTAATATGTCCCAGATTTCACTTCCACCCTTGCCAAGAAATTTAGTGTTTGTTCATTGCTCTGACGTTCTTGTGACAGCATACAAAAACATGCAACAACAATAATGAATGCCCTTCAACAAGACACGGCCACGCATGGACACGAACACAGCTGTGAGCCACTGATATATCAAGGTTATGAAACCTTACCGAACAGTGGCAAGTTCATGACCTTGAAATTATCGGATCTTGTATCTGGAGTTCAGGTTGTTAAAAGAAAAATGGGCACAAGCCATCTGTAGAAGACCATGTATTTGCAAACTAAGTTTGCATTTTATTCCACAGGCCTGGTGGGTTCTGAGTAGGAGACCACCATGATTAGACTTCTGTTTGCAGTCTGGCTGCCTTTGGAGGCAAGTGAGAGGCAGAGAGCTCAGGCAGGAGGCTCTTGCAGTATTCAAGTGAGAGTCTGAGAAAAGGCAAGAGCTCTGGGCTAACTAGCTTTTTTTTTTCAGAGGCAGTCTCAGTGCCCATAGTTCAGTGGTTAGGTCTCCAGCCACATACACCAGGGCTGGCGGGTTAGAACCCAGCCCAGCTTGCCAAAAAACAATGACAACTACAACCAAAAAATAGCCAGGCATTGTGGCAGGCGCCTGTAGTCCCAGCTACTTGGGAGACTGAGGCAAGAGCATCACTTAAGCCCAAGAGTTGGAGGTTGCTGTGAGCTGTGATGCCACAGCACTCTACTGAGGGTGACATAGTGACATTCTGTCTCCAAAAAAAAGGGCAGGCTCTTGCTCTGTTACCCAGGCTGAAGTGCAGTGGCAGGATCATAGCTCACTGCAGCCTTCAATTCCTGGGCTGCAGTTCAGGGAACAGGCAAATCTTAACTGAAAATCTCGGCATGAGAAAGTGATCCTCCTGCCTCAGCCTCCTGAGTAGCTAGGACTATAGGTGTATGCCACTACACCAGCTAATTTTTTAAAAAATACATTTTGTAGCAAAAGGGTCTTGCTGTGTTGCCCAGGCAGGCCTGGAACTCTTGGCCTCAAGCCATCCTCCTTCCTCAGCCTTCCAAAGTGGTGAGATTCCAGGCATGACCCACCATCCCCAGCCGTAATTAGCTTTAAAATCAGAGAAAAGTTTTTCTGTGATTGGCTGCATAGTACATTGTCACATTGGAAACTAAAATAGGCTGTAAGTGGCTCAGTTAAACCTCTCGCTCCTCTGAGAGCACCTGTTCTGCTGATTGAGGGGATACGTCTCCACCCATGCACCTTCTCTCCCAGACTCCTGGAAGACTGTTTCACACCTTCTCCTCAAACCTCTAACACCTCTTCCCTTATCCTGTCTCTCAGCTGATTAACTTTGCCTCCTGCTTCCCTGAGAAAATGGAAGCCACCAGCACTTCTTCAAATTCCAGCACCGTTTCCCCACCTTCCCAACTTCCTGCTTGTGGTTACTTGGGTTCCCTCCTCGGTTGTCTAACTATGACCAACTCCTCCACATGAGATTCCATCCCCTGCTCTCTCTTTGAGATGAGTATGCCAGTGATTTTTTCCTCAACAGCCTCCTGAGTAGCTAGGACTATAGGTGCCCACCACTATACCTGGCTGATATTTTTTTATTTGTAGTAGAGATGGGGGTCTTGCTCTTGCTCAGGCTGGTCTCGAACTCCTGAGCTCAAGGGCTCCTCCCACCTTGGCCTCCCAGGTCTGAGCCACTTGCACCTGGCCAATTTCTCTCATCTTTTTTTTTTGAGACAGAGTCTCACTTGGTCACCTTGGTAGAGTGTTGTGGCGTCTTAGCTCACAGCAACCTCAAACTCTTGGGCTCAAGTGATCCTCTTGCCTCAGCCTCCCAAGTAGCTGGGATTATAGGCACCCGCCACAACACCCAGCTATTTCTGAGATGGATTCTCACTCTGGCTCAGGTTGGTCTCGAATCCATAAGCTCAGGCAATACACCCACCTTGGCCTCCCAAGTGCTGGGATTACAGGCATAAGTCACTACACCCAGTTTCTCTTATTAAAAAAATAGTAGTAAATAAACACTCTCTTGACCTCAATATTCCCTTCTTTCCCCAGCACAGCAAAACGCCTCAAAAAATGTCTCTTTTCATTCTAATTCCTTTCTTCCCATTCTCTCTTAATCCTACTCGAGTCAGACCTTTGCCCTGCAGTATTCCATCAAAACTGCTTGCTATCATTGGGATCCCCAGGGACCTTCATACCGCTAACTCCCGTAGTCAGTTCTTGGCTCTCAGCTTCCAGGAACTCGTGGCAGCTTCTGACAGAGTTGCCAACACCGTCTTCTGGGAATCCCTGTCTTCACTTTCGAGATACCACAGTGGATTTTCTCCTGTTTCCAGGCCTATTCCTCTTCGGTCTGCTTTGCTCCTTCCAGGGCTCAGTGCTTGGACCACTGATTGTGGATCAAATGCCACTTTCATGCTAACAACTCCCCAGTTTGTAGCTCAATTTGATTTCTCCTCTGAACATGAGCTTTCTATAACCCTCTCCTACTTATTCAGCGTCTCTGCTTAGACATCTAACATAGACATCTCAGGCAAAAAACAATTTCAATTGTATTTTTTCCCTGCTTAGCTAATAGTAGCTCCATCCTTCCAGTTACTCAGGTCAAAGTCTCCATCCTTGTGTCATCCTTCTCTCACACCTCCCGTCCAGCCCATCTAGCTGCAAACACATAAGGAATGCAAGGCTGGACATGGTAGCACAGGCCTGTAATCCCAGCACTTTGGGAGACTGAGGCAGGAGGATTGTTTGAGGACAGGAGTTTGAGACCAGCCTAGACAGCATAGTGAGATTCCATCTTAACAAAAAAAAAATGATTATTTTATTTTTTGAGACAGTTTCACTTTGTTGCTCCTGATACAGTGCTGTGGTGTCATTGTTCACAGCAACCTCAAACTATTGGGCTCAAGTGAACCTTTTGCCTTAGCCTCCTGAGTAGCTGGGACTACAGACACCTGCCACAATGCCAGGCTATTTTTAGAGATGGGGTCTCGCTGTAGCTCAGGCTGTTCTCACACTCATGAGCTCAGGCAATCTGCCCATCTCAGCCTCCTAAAGTTCTAGGATTACAGGCATAAGCCACCACGCCCAGCCAAAAAAAATTTTTTTGAATTAGCCAGGCATAGCGATACACGCCTAGAGTCTTAGCTACTTGGGAAGCCGAGGTGGGAGAATCACTTGAGCCCAGGGGCCCGAGGTTGCAATAAGGAATGATGCACTCCAGCCTGGGCGACAAAATAAGACTGTCTCAAAAAAAAAAAAAAAAAAAAAAAAAAAAAAAAAAAAGAAAAACCATATGGAATCTAATCGTTTGTCACCGCCCCCACAGCTACCATCCTGTCCAAGTCATCTCTCACCCAAATTACTATAATAGTTTA